GCGGGCAGTGCCTGCCGCCGTGCTGGGCTTGTGCTCCCTGGGAATGCTGCAAAGCGCCTCTGGGACCTGGTTCTCAGCTTCCCTTTCTGCCTGCTGTGCCCAGTTCTAGGTCGCTGTGCAGCTAAACCCTGGGGAATATTTCAGAGCATCTCCACACCTCAGCTCTCCGGAGGGAGGGTGAAGGTGCAGATGGAGGGTTCGTGTGAGGTGACGCCGCAGGAACCCCCCGAGGGAGGAGCAGGAGCAAGCAGTGAGCCCAAGAAGATGTCCCGGGAAGGACAGACAGCTCGGGAGATGGCAGTGCTGCTTGAGGAGGTGAGGGCAGTGCCATGGCAAGTCCTGTTCAAGACAGAGTCTGGGGCAGATCCTGATGGGAGCAGAGCCCCCAGCTCCAGGGTCGGGGGCAGTGTCTCCCAGATGTGTTTTTTCCCTGTGGAGGGCAAGCGGGAGACTCAACAGAGACAGCAGCTCTGTGTGGTCTCAGTCCAGCCATCAATATTTGCTGCCACTTGAGCTGTCTGGGAGTTACCTGAGCAGGAAGAAACCCTGCTTGTCCCTGCACGGAATGAAATGGCATCGTACCTCCCTAGGAAGTAGCCACAGGGCAGCTCCTGGATGGACCAGCAGGAGCCAGCACCCACCAAACCTCTCTCCCTTTCCAAGGGTCCTCTTGCTGCTGCCAAAGAGAAGGAAGGAGCCCCAGAGGATGCTGGAGCAGATGCACCATTAGGTCTCCCATGGTCTCCCTCAGGGACAGGAACCCCAGGCACTCTGCCCAGCACCAGGGCTGGGACCCAGGACACCCTGGGGGAAGACACTGCTGGGACATCTCTCCTGGGGGGTGCTGGACCCCCTGAACCACTCCCAGCACTGCTTGAGTCCACGAGAGACATTTTCAGCCCTCACTCAGGCTGCAGGGAGCAGGACACGCAGCAGAGGAGCAGGGAGAGCCACCGGTGTGAGGGCTCTGCCAGCTTGGTGTGGGATGCCACGCCAGGGATGCTCTTCCAGAAGGACAGGGAGAGCAGCCCTCACTCCCTGGTGAGTACCAACAGGCACAGTGCCCATCGCTCCTGACCAGCTTTCTTCCACCCCACAGACCTGGTGTAGCTTTTTTTGTCCTGGCTGCTAAGAGTCTGGAGCTGTCTTCCCTGCAGAACCTGTCCTGGGTGTTTGGCTACAACAGCAGCTTGGCTGTGCACAGCCTGATGGACGGGGAGGACCGGGTGCTCCTGTACATCTCCTCCCACACAGTGGTCATCCACGACATCCTGGGGAACAGGCAGTACCACCTGCAGGTCTGGCACACAGCCCATGCATCTTCCTCCTCCTCCCCTTTTCCTGAGCTCTCTCTCCATCTCTATTCCTGGTACCCTGTGCTTAGGGGTACCTAAAAGTTTGCCCATGTAAAGGGGTGTGTCAGTTTTCTCTAACACCTCTTGCTGTTCCCTGCACATGATGGTGGAAAGCACTTTGTGTTGGACTGCAGCAGTGATTTCATGAGCAGAGCAGCTTGATGAATGCTTCAAACAGCCCCCAGGCCTGGAGCCCCCAAGACACTTTGCTGCTTCCCTTCCCCAGGGCCACACAAATACCATTTCTTGCCTGTGTGTGAGTGAAGACAAGCGCTGGGTTGCAACTGCTGACCGAGGGCCAGATGCTCTGATCATTTTATGGGACTCCTTCTCTGGGTAAGCTCCTGGGAACAGCCTCTTTGGAAACCCCCTAAATCCAGTAAATCATTTGGGACTGACTCCATCCTCAGCTGAGAGTGAAACGGGAGAACATGGGCATGGACTAAGAGCAGCAAAGGTGAAAAATACAGTCTGAGGGCTTTGTCCTCATATCACCCACACCCATGGGACAATGAGATGGGCCAAGCTCTCCCAGACAAAGTACAGCACATCTCCACATCACGCTATTTTCTTAAGAGATCCCTGGTGAGTTGTTTCCCAGCACCACTTCCTCGGGAGGCAGGAGTGGAGGGGACAGAGGACCAGCCACGGTCTGGCTGCTCCCACAGCAGCACTGGTGTTTGCAGACCAGGGTGGGCTGTGCCACGGGGTTTGACAAACTCCTGCCTTGACCCCCCTGTGCCGCCACGAGCACCCACGGGGTCTTTGCCCCTCAGGGTACCTGTGCGCACCATCTTCGAGAGCCACCCCGGGGACGGGGTCGGGGCCATCGCCCTCTCCCACCACGCCAAGTGTCTGGTGACCATCAGTGCTGGCACGCCGCAGGTAAAGCACAGTCTCCTCTTTTGTAGCTCTGCAGGACAGAGCCCTGGAATTTCCACACACCCCCCCAGCTCAGGGGAGAGGGGAATTCAGATGGGGAGAGCACAAGAGAGGTGGAGTTGGTTTGCAGAGTGATGACTTGTTTGAGCCCTTGGGAGACAGACCCGGATTTCATTCAATCCAGGCAAAGAAAATGAGAAAATGGATCTTAATTTGGGATAAAAGCTTTTGACTCATGGAAGCCATTTCCAGCATTATTTCCTGAATTAAGCTCTCTGTTGCCAGGCCATGCTGGGTTTTACCCTGCTCCAGGCTTTTATGCTCCACCATCCCCTGCAATTGGGGGAATGTGTCTCACCTAGCTCTCCCGAGCTCCAAGAAAGCCACAAGTATTCCCTGAGTTTTTCTTCCCTTCTCTCACAGAGAGTTTGTGTTTGGAAGTGGACTTTGCCCACAGAGAAACCCATGTGCAGCACAGAGCTGAGGCCTGAGTTTGGGCACCAGGTGAGTGACCATGGCTGAGGGTGCAGAGCCCGAGGGAGCAGCCCCGTCCTCACCTTTTGAGGTGATTTTCATGGAAGAATAAGCAGAAAGCATTGCTTGGCTTGGCATTAATGAGGTTCTCACCTTTGAATTTCAGGATTATGTCATTTTTAACCCTAAAAATCCCCATGAGTTTGTCAGCAACAGCAAAACCCAAGTGATATTTTATCAGTGGGTAAGTAGGGACATGAGTAGTTGTGTTTTGGGTGCCAGAGGAGGTGACATGGGGACACACACACTGGTGAGGCAGGATGGGCTGCAGGGCCAGGTGTCTGCCCACAACTGGGGTCAGACTTTGCCTTGCAGATCTGCCCCTGAGAGGGTGTTCTGCACTCTCTGAAAGTTCTCAGAGCCTTTCTGCCTCAGGAGACCTGCTTTGGTCACCACAGTGCAGGGCCAGTGCCCAGATGATGGGGAGGGCCATGCTAGCACTGCAGAGCATAGCTCCAAAATGCTTGTTCTGGATGTTTTCTCTGCTTTCCTCAGGACAATGCCAGTTTGCAGTACTCAGCACCACCCCTGAGCAACCAGGTGAGTGCAGGGGGGACCACAGCATGTCACCCTCCTGGCATTCCTCCTGGCAGCAGCACTGTCCCTTCCCATCCCCTCAAAAACAGTGGCCACGTCCCCACCCTGTCGCCCTTGGTCTCCTGAAGGGACAAGCCAGGGTTGCTCGAGCTGAGGTCAAGAGGGACTCTCTCTTCCGGAGATGCCCTACTGCATCTTCTCCTGGGGCTCTGCTGTGGGACAGGGAGGGAATGTCACACAGGGAACCAAGCAGAACCATCTCTGCTTGAGGAGGACAGAGCCAGTGCCCAGGATGGATGCACAGCCTCACCTCTCTCTCCACAGACCTTCAAGACTGTGGTGGGACACTTCAGCCAGTCAGTTTTTCACTTTAACAACTCCCAAGCTCTGACAGGCACCTCAGCAGGGAAACTGGTGGTGTGGGACGTGGCCAGTCCCTGCACCTTCTCTGAGGAGCTGCAGACCAAGCCATGGAGCGTGACAGTCACCAAAGTGGTGCCCATGCAGGAGGACAGCCTGACCGTGCTCCAGGTGTTGGAGAGGTAACGAGGAGGTTGTTTTCAGTAGCTGCAGGTGCAGTCCCCAGGTATCTCGGCTGTAGGAATGGCAGAGCTAGTGCTGAACTACAGCCAAGAGTTGGAGTTTTAAGTCACTTGGCAGGTGCGAGGACCGGGGAAACTCATGCAGGAAAGTGTTGCTGGTTTATGAGTCATTTCCCAGCAATGGGTTTGGCTGGGGGCGGGGGGGAAAGGTTGAAAAGCCGCGGTGATGTGATGCCAGCTCTGCTGGGGTAGCTGACACCGGCAGAGGGAGCAGAAAGCCACCAAACGCCGTGGCAGCCCTGGGGACAGGGCAGGGACGCGGCAGGGGCACAGCAGAGCTCTGCGATCTGCCCCGCACACCTGTGTAGGGCTCTGCTCACTTGCTTGTGCAGAGAAAAGGGGGGAAGAGGTTTGCTTCTTCCCAAGGAGGCTATCCAAGAAATGTTTGCGAGTCGTCAATGAGTGTTGGTTAATAACTTCCCCTTCTTTGCAGCTGCATAGTAACAGGTGATGTGAAAGGGCAGGTTAAATTCTACGATGGGCAGCTGCGGCTCCTCACCTTCTACAGCCACAGCAAAGTGGGACCAATTCGGTCCATCTCCTTCTCCAAACCCCTTCGTGATCCTCCTGGTGCCTCCCCTGCCTTCTCCAGCTGCCAGCCCTTCCTCACCAGGTGAGTGTCCCTCGAGAAACCCAGGACTCCTCCTGTTTCTCCCTGTGATAGCTGGGGAGGTGGTCAGAGAGCTGGGCAGGTGGTCAGTGCGAGCTGCTCTGTGGTCTTCTGCCTGGGCTAGAGCAGGTTTCAACCCTGTGCCCAGGCTTCTGGGCAGGACAGGAACAGGGAGGCAGGACAGGGAGGGAATGTGCCCCTTTATGCCCCTTCTCCACAGGTTTTCATTTGGGGCATTTGTCTCTCCTGCTCACCAGAGAGAAGCAGGTGGGTGACTCCTGGGTATCTCCTCTCTGTCTGCAGCCTCTAGGCATATCCCAGTGGCTGCAGAACTCCAGGTGGGCTCCAGCACATCCTAAATTCTGAACTTGAAGTGATGCCTCGGTGCAGGGAGAGAAGCATTAGTGCAGGCACCGCGATGATCAGCTTCTCTGTCACGTACCCGGCACACCAGGCAGTGCTAATGCTGAGCCTCCAGCTCTTGCTGGGCCCCTTAATCCCCCCCTTAAACCCCTCCCATGGATAGCTATATCCAGTTGGATTTTATTATGGCTCGGCAAGCTAATCAGTGCAGTGGCACCAGCTCTGGGTTGTACCACACTGACTCAGGAGCTTGGGCCAGCCCCAGCCTGGGCACCAGCCCCTCTGTCCCCCTGTGTGATGTAGCTGCTCCCGAGGATTTATGGGGAGCCTGCAGGCCAGATGAAGCTGTTTTGTGGCTCCATCCAGCCTGCAAACCATATGTCTGTCACTCCTGTTAAGGCTCTCCTGGCAACGTCTGTTGTTAGCTGCACGTGTTTTCCAAAGAGCCATGTGGGACAGATTCCTCCTCAGCCTGCAGCAGTGCCCTGGGGAACGGTTGGATTTCCCTGTTGGTCTCTGTTATCTTATCCCTCTTCCTGGGGCACTGCTGCAGCTCCTGCTGCTTGCAGCTGCTCTGGGCAGCACAAAAAGCAGAAAAACAGGGGAGGCCCTGAGCCTGCTCGTGTCAGCAGGCTGGTGGGACCAGGAATGGCTGGAGAGCCCAGCTGAGGGGTGCCAGAGGCACAGAGTCCTTCTTTCCATGGACTAGCACAGAGCCTGTGTTTCCCCAGTCTTGCTGCCACATGTTTGCGCAGCTCCAAGATTCAGCCTGGAAAAGGCTCCAGGGAGATATCATAGCACCTTCCAATGCCTAAAGGGGCTGCAGGAGAGCTAGAGAGGGACTTTGACAATGGCCTGGAGTGACAGGACAAGGGGGGATGGCTTCACACTGACAGAGAGCAGGGTTGGGTTGGATGTAAGGCAGAAATTTCTCACTGTGAGGGTCCCCCATCCCCGGAGCGTTCCAGGCCAGGTTGGATGGGACTTGGAGCAACCTGGGCTACTGGCAGAGAGTTTGGAAGGAGATGAGCTTTAAAGTTCCTTTCAACCCAAACCATTCTGTAATCTCTGCGTGGCCCTCTCTTGACCCTTTAAGTGGGTTCTGACTCAGACTTCAGGCAGACTGAGACTACACCTCTTTGTGCTGTAACATGCATAATTATTCAGCCCCCCCAGGCTGTCAGCAGGAGCTCTCTGCTGTGCTGGGCCCAGCGCAGCCGAGCGAGCAGACAGGCAGCTGCCCTGGCTGTGGGGCAGGACACAACTGTCCCCTGCCCCTGGCCATGGTCAACGTGGAGCCACTGACAATGGTGGCGTGGAGACACATGAAAAGACTATTCAGAGTATCTTCAATTGCTCATTTGTCTGTCTCACACACCAGCGACTTGCAAATGGCAAAGGCTCCCCAGATGTCATTCATCTTCTGGCTTGCCTAGCCAAGTATGAAATGGAACTGGCTCCAGTGTCTTCCTGTGGTGAATTCCCAGGTCGTGAATGCAAAGTGCCACCTGCCCTCCAGGTCAAGGGGTGTTTACATATTGCATTTCCCAAAATATAAGTGAATGTCCAACTAAATAGCCAAAAAGAGACTAATGTGCAATATAGCTTGGAAGGATGTGAGCCAGCTAGTCTGATTCATCAAATTCCGTTTCTCTCCCACTAAACAGGAACTTTATCCTTTCAACCTCTGGTGCAACTGTGTTCCATGTTGCAACAGACAGCACGAAGTTTGAAAGAGTGATGGAAGAGGCGAAGGAAGCGGTGAATGCGGTGGCCTGTCACCCACGGCAGGCCCTGGTGGCCGTGGGCAGTCACTGTGGGCTGCTGAAGGTGTGGGACTATGAGCAGACCCAGTACCTCGTTAGCAGGATATTCCCCCAGGCTGGAATCCGGTGCTTGTCCTATGACCCTGCAGGTACCCCCCGTGCCCTGCCCTCGTGCCAGGGCTGTGCCCCCGGGAGCAGCAGTGGTGTCACCAGCTTTCTGACATGCTTTCCAGGTCATTTTCTGGCCGCTGGTTTGACTGATGGAAGCGTTTACATCCTCGATGCGATTTCCCTTCTGTCCAGCTGCAGAGAGCTCCAGTTCTCGCAGGGTCCTGTGACTCACGTTAGCTTCTCTCACGACTCCAAGTACCTCGCCACTGCTGTAAGTTGTTTTTTCCACCCAGTGATTCACACACGGCTCACGAGGGACCGGGAATTGCTGGCCATCCCATGAGGCAGAGCCAGCAGGTGGAGGCTGGTCCTCCCTCGGGGCTTCCTGACTCTGAACTGCTTTTCCTGGCTTGAAGAGTCACTCCAAAGGCGTTGCCAGTCCCAGCTGCTCCACAGAGCTGCTGCTGGCAGTGTCCCGTCACTCACTAACTTGAGCAACAAGTCTGAGCTCTGTGTCCATCTGGAGAAAGGGCTGGAGCAGGGATTTCCTCCTGGTTGGTGCTCTACGAGGGGAGCTGCTCCCACCATCCCAGGGTAGGTGTTGAAGCAGTTTGCCAGAGCTTGTGTAGCAACTGGTGATGATCTGTACAAAGAAAAGATTCCCCTTTTCTGCACAGATGCCAGGGCACAGCAGTGGGAAGCACCTTCCTTGTGATTTCTGGGGAGTCACAGTTTGATCTCCTGCCCCTCTGCTGTGTGAGCATGACAGGGAATGGCTCAGATGCTCTGGCCAGGCTGAGGATTGCTTAGCACTGCCTTTGGGAGCAGCTGCCCCAAACTGCCTGACGTGGTGTTTTATCCTGGCTGTGACTTTAACCCTCCTGGTGGGACTCCAAAAGTGAAAGCACCGAGCTAAGCCCGGAGGGGGATGCACAGGGGGACTGTGGCTTGCTGACCGTTGCACTGTTGTTGCAGGATGAGAAATACTCAGTGACTGTTTACAAGAGAGTCCTACAAAATGGGAGCAGATGCTGGGAGCACCTAGCAGGGCTGGACTCTCACTACAAACCCATCAGGAGCATCCTCTTTGGCATCCAGTTAGAGAGCAACAAGCCCAGGCTCCTGAGCCTCGGGGAGGACAGGCAGCTGGTAGGTGGATGTAAAAGTCTAAAGCTTTGTGATTAAAGCAGGGGGCTGGACAAGGGCATCAAGGGAGACTGGTTCTGTGACTCCCAACCCTCTCCCCACCGGCTCTATTGCTGAGCTTTGTTCCTCAGCCTGGTCTCAGGGCTGAGGTTCTGCTCCTGTGGGCTGTGCCAGGGGATGCTAGATGCAGTTAATCCACAAGGTCCAGGGTGCTGGCAGACCACAGAGGAGTTGCTGTGTTTCCTTGTCTTCCCTTCAGGTTGAATATGACCTGAACAGCAGCAGCAAGGACCACTTGGTGGTCTTGCACAGAGTCCGGGTAGAGCAGATTGCTGTGCCCCTGTGCTTGGCCTGGTACCCACAGCTCAGCACTGAGTCCTTCATCCTCACTGCCAACAACTGCTACAAACTGAAGCTCTACAGCACAGTGACCAAGATGTGCAGGTAGTGGATTATTTCAGGCCTACCAGTGCCTGGGAGCCCCATCCTGACTCTGTTCTCCTTGGTCTAGTGTCTGCCCTGTTCCCACCCAAGACCATGTGTTTGTCCATCTGTGATGCAGACCTTGGGATGACTCTAGGGCTCCCAACTTGCTCCTTTCTTATGTCCATTCTGCTGTTCACTAATGTGTCATCTAGTAAGGTTGTGGCTGCAGGTGGGTCTTGGTCTGCTCATTGGATTGAGACACAGCAGTTAGACATCAGATAAAGAGACAGGACTCCACATGAGTAAAGGACAGTAATCCCTGAGCACCGAAGTAATTTCTGAGCATCAGTGTGGTCCCTTCTAGCCAGGGACCCTGTCCTATCCTGGTCTCTCAGCCTTTTCTCCCTCCACACCTCCCCACCCGACACCCCCATCCTTCTTCAGAGCAGCCATTCAGAGAGTGAAAATGTCTTCTGAGCCCTAGAATGGATAAATATGTTGTTTGCTTTTAGAAAGACTCTTTTGGGACCAACCTATGGCTCCCCATTGGAGAAGATACAAATCCTCCCAAGAACAAGCCTTGCAGACCCCCAGAAACACTACCTGGTGTATGTTACAAAGGACAAGGTAAGGAGCCCTAACTGTCCCAGCTGTACAAGAGCCTCTGCTTGCAGAGCTGTTACTCCTTTGGGAATTTCACTGGAGATGAAACCATGTGTAGGCTGGTCCTGCCTGAGAGCTGAGCGAGCTCCTGGGAGGAGGATGTTCCCATGGGACCCCCAGTCCTCCCAGATTCCCTCTTTCCTTATAGGTGGGCTTGCAGATATTGCCTGCTGATGGCAACCCCCACAAGTCCTCAGCCTTCATTTGCCACCCAGATGGTGTCTCTGACCTTGCCACCTCCTACAACGGCTGCTATGTCTTTACAGCAGGGGGGAACGACTGCACCGTTATGAAATGGAAGGTCGACCTAAAGTAAGTATGGCAGGAAGGAGAAAGGAGTCTTGTTACTGTTTTCCCCACCTGCTTGGCCACCACAGCTGAAGCAAATGCTCCCCAGCATTTATGCTGAGAATGGGTTTTTGTCCTAAGAGCTCTCTGTGCCCAGAGGAGTGAAAGCAGTCAAGGTTCTCATGGGAAGTGTTTCTTTGCAGGGCTCTCTTGAGCACAGGTCCTTTTGGGGCAGGTGACAAAGCCCTGCAGATTTGCTCTCCTCCCACAGCACCATGGCCAGGCCAACAAACTGCATCTGGCAAAGAGGGTCATGGGGTGGAGGACAGGTCCCAGCACTCATGGAAGCAGGAGACCTAGCACTAGCTGGCAGCAGCATGAGGGAAGGCTGGCAGCATCTCTGCTCAGTCCTGGGGCTGCCAGCTCCCAGACACCTGGCCTGACACCGAGTTTACTCACAGTTCATCAGCAGTTCAGTGTGGTGGGCATGTGTCACACTGGGGTGGTGGCACGGCAGCGGGGTCAGGCTAGATTGTAAGGACTGGTCAGGTCCTAAGCAGCTGTGTGGGATGGCAGCTGAAACAGGAGGGACACATTTTGGAGGGGTTTGTTCCCCTCTGTGTGATGCAGCCACATAGTCATAGGGAGGGTTAAGCCAGCAAACCTCACAGGTGGTGGCCATAGCACCTGTAAAATACTCCAGTCTGGGGAAAGGGACCCAAACAGTGAGAAGCTGAGCAAAGGATTTTCTGGTCCTTGTGAGGGCCTGGCCAGTTTGATGAGAGATTTCTGGGGCTGGGCAAGGAATCAGAGGAGCGGCACTGGCTGCAGGAGGAGCACACAGGGAAGCTGCTGATACAGAAGGATCTGCTCTCCAAATGGGATAGGCATTTGCTAGGAAATCCCCTCTGCATTTGAAGACTGGATTTAGGACAAGCCACCTTAATCCTATAAAGCTTTGCTTACATGAGCACATGGACTGCAGTGAATGGGGTGGTTGGAGGAGTGAAGGCTGCTCTAACGAGTGAGGCTCTCCAGGCTCTGGCCTGGAGAATCCCCAGTGAACCCTGCCAGGTTTCCTCCACTGTTCTCTGCAAGTGTGCCATCCCCTCTGCCAGCTGCCTTGGGCAGCAGTGCCAGATGTGAGCTCCTCCACAGCAGGAGGGTATCACAGCACAGGCAGGATATATGTTTTGGTTCCTTCACATGCCAAGGACCAGAGCTGCTGATGCAACACACGTGTAGGGCTGAAGGCTCTCTCCTCATCACTGGGGCTGCAGGTGCCTGGCAGATACACGTGTGCACGGAAAAGAGCTGTGAGTGACATGAAAACTGCTGGGCCAGCATGGAGTGACTTCACATTTCAGGGGCTGGAAAGGGAGCTCAGTCCACGTCAGAGCTAGAATAGTGTGGCATGGTCTGTGCTGGTGGGTTTTGAATCCTGCATCTCTCCCTGCTAGCACAGGGCAGGTCGGCGGGTGCCTGGCAAATCAAGCCCCTGGGACTGGCTTTTAGCCCTTGCTCCTAAGTGTGCCCTTGGGTGTGCACCTGAGGAGCACCACTGCCACCTTCCTCAGACAAAGGCTTCATGGCTAAGTCACTTGCTGGTCCTGAGAAAAACACTTCTTGCGGGTGCTGCTTGCTCAGAGGAGAGCCCAAAGGGTGCTGAGCCAGCTCACCTTCATTTGCCAGAACAAAGGAAACCTGGATGGGAAAGCAATGGGCTTATTTATTTTCTTTTCCACTTTGTGTGGCTTAAGCAGTCGGGGGTCAGGATAAGCGACGTTTCAAGGAAGGCAATAGAATATAAATGATCCTTCTTTAGAATGCTTGGCCAGGGTCCAGGCAGCATCGAATTTCTGTGTAATTTGTTTTTGGAGCGAAGTTCTTGATGAGCTAATTATCATTTTATTGCTGCTTCTGGCATCTTGTGCATCTCCACTGTGTTTAATACCCAAATAACTTAATTATGAAAGAAGCACGAAACTTGCAGGAAAACCCAACCCAGTGGCAGCAGCTCCGGAGAGGTGAGTGGGAAAACTGCTGCACGGGGCATTTTGTGGTGCTGCTACACCACGGCTGCACTTCCAGGCTTGGTTTCTTTCTTCATCTGCACCAGCCAGAGGGATTATTTTGGCTGCAGATGCCCATGGAATCGAAACAAAGAGGTGGCTCCTCGGGCACTCTGAGTGTGCTGCAGACTGCACCTGCGACACCGTCAGCTGCCGCGGCAGAGGGGATGGAGGGACGAGTTACTGGGGAGGGATGGGCCTGGGCAAGGGAACAGGCAGCTCGGGTTTGTGGGGTTTATTGCAAACACCAAGCCCCAGCCCTTTCTGCATGTTCAAAATGCTGATCCAGCTAATTCATCTCCCTCAGCGTCTCTATAAGGAAGGAGGAAAGCTAAATGCCAGACATCGAACTGAAGTCCATGGAAAAGCTCCTGGCTCCCAGCCCTGTGCTCATTCCACTAAACAAGAGGACCATTCAGTAATAATTAATTCCCACACTGTGCTATTGTATGTAAAACCTGGGTATGAAATATGCTGTAGAAGTGCAGCTGATGATAAAATAGCACACGGTTCAAGGCAGTGCTTTTCTTTCCTGAATCCTGAAGCCTAGGGATTGTATTTATTGGAGTGTCTGTGAACAAGGACTAGAAAGGGAACCATGGTAGCTCTCCTCACATGAACCCTTCTCTACCTTCTTTTCTTCGCTCTGCCAGTGCCTTGGATGCTGCTGTTTTCCTGGGTGGGGAGGACCTCGTCCCATTCTACAACCTCCTGGATGGTGGCAGAGAAGGCGAATCCTTCAGGGTAGCTATGCTCACTGTGAACACTCTCTGGCCACATCTGGCTGCAGTTTATACAGGCCTGACATTTCTTTATGTTTTGTGCAGCTCTCCTTTAACAGCAATCTCATTGCTAAGCCCGTTAGTAAATCCTAAAAGTAGCCTGATCTTCCCTGCCTGTTCGTAACTGGACTTTACAGTGTTCCTTTTAATTCCTTGCAGGAGCTGGAAGACTATTTTTACTACGCACAGCTGTGCAGCCACGGTGTGGATACACAGGAGAGCAGACAGGTGTCAACACATATTCCCTTGGAGGAAATTCCCTCTGTAATGAGAGCAATGGGATTTTATCCTTCAGAGAAAGAGGTTGGTCGGCTGTTTTTATCGTTGTTATTAAAAAAAGAAAGAGCAAGGCTGATTGCACTTACCAAGTGTCCCAAGGGCCAGATCCTGACCACTGCCACGCTGGATGCATCCAGAGTAAATTCGTTGGTTTTCAGTGTATCTAATGTGTCTGCATCGATATGGGAGTGGTCACAATGTGGCAACAAATTTATCCTTCTTGCTAGCAAGTTGGGCAACAGCAGGGGCAGGCTGAGCAAACCTGGAGCCTGATGGTTCAGAGGTGTTCAACAGGACAGCCTCAGGGTCTGCTGGAGGTTGAGTGCTCTGCCACCACTGCAGAGGTGGGTTTCTTCAGGAGGGGGAAGCTGAGGAATGAAACTTCCTTTGGCTCCCAAAGGGCAGCAGCCTCCAGTTTTCCAAAGTCCGTGGGTAAAGTGCTTTGGTCTCCCTGGACTTCTGCTGGTGACTGAGCAGCAAGTAGTGGATGGAATGTGGTTAAGTCCCTCCAGGTCAGATGAAGACTCAACCAGAGTGCCCTGGTTGTGTTACCAGTGTGGGTGGGAATGTCCAGCTCCATCCAATCACTCATTTGGACATTGACAGAGCCTCTTTTTCTTGTTCTGCCTGGGACTGACAAAAGAATGATTTTTGGTGGAGACAGCAGCATTTATTCCCATAGAATACAAAGCTCTTTCATAGCTGATAAACTCTGCAGAAGCTCTCTCTGAGGTTGTCTTTCAGGTTGCAACAGCAAAGCTTCCTATCAAACACTTCTCAGGAGCATTTTAGCTTCAAATTTGCATCAGACAAAGACAATTGATTTTATAAGGGTGCTGCTTCTTCCCCTTTTGTGGCTGCTTCTCCGAGGCAGTTTGGAATGTATACAAACCTCATTTGTTTGCAATATGTAACCTGGCAAAAGGGTAATTAAAGCACATACCAAAAAATTACTGAATCTGGTGCAAGGAGATTTAAATAACGACCTCTTTGCAGCAGGCACAGCCCATCACCCAGGAGGGGCTGTCCCAAGGGAAGCAATGCATCGCTGTGCTCCCTCGTCTCGCTGCAGGGGACGTTGTGTTCCTCTCTGCCGTGGCACAGGAGCCCACAGGCTGCTGAGCTGGTGCTGTGAGTCAGTGCCACCCCATCTGCCCAGGGAGACACTGCCAGGAGAGCCAGCAGATGGGATGGGAGGCAGGTCCTGTGCCACAGCCACCACCCCACAGACTTGCTTTGGAGCCCCCACAACCAGTGTGTGTGGGAGCCAGGGTGGCTGTGCCCTCGTGTCAAGCTGTGGTGCATCACTTCATACCGGGTTAGATCTTTTCCTTGGGTTGTTACATTTTTGCCTCTTGGGGACGGAGAGAACATAATCCCCATGGAAAAGTCTCTGGAAGAATAACTGCTAGCTCCCTCCCGCACCAAATCAAAATATAGACAGCATTTCAGGCATGGAAACAGAGGTGCTAAGCTGTTGTGAAACCAGGCAACCCACAATCTGCTTCTCAAGGCAGGCAGGACAGTAATAACATCCAGAGAGAAAGTTCATCTCTCTCTAGAGTATTTTAATAAAGGAAAAACGGGAGAGAGAAAAGGCAGCTTGGGCTGACTAGCAAAGCTTTGGGGAATTGGTGTTTTTCTTTTATAGTTCAGTGGGGTTGCTATAAAACCTAATCCCAGATCAGCCAGAGCTGTGTGAAAATGACTTTTCTCGCCTGGCGTGTCATTCACTACAGGAAAAATCTAAGGCTGAGATTTCCCTCTTCCCCCAAGCTTCATTCAGTGCAAAAACTTGTGGCACAAGGACAAAGGCCCAAGGCTGAATGCAAAGTCCTCCCTGGGGAGATCTTGCTTCCCTTCCCTTCCCGGGGAGCTGCAGGCTTGGTACGCGTTGAGACATCGAATTCTGCCGGTGTCTCCGTGTGTCTCCGGAGGGGCTGTGAGGACAATGCAGACACGGAGCACAGGCTGCCTGTGCACACAGCTGCCAGCTGGGCTGGCTGGCAGCACCAGGGCTCACCAGCCACGGGGCCCCAGCACGGCCAGGCTGGCTGAGAGCAGAGCGAGGGAGCACAGGGTTTGGCTGTGCAGGGGCAGAGCCACAGCCACAGAGGGGGAAGTGCTGTGTGCACCTGGTTCTGGTTGTGCTGGGCCTGCCTCTTGTCCCCACAGTGCAGACACAGCTGTGCCGAAGGTACCGGTAACAGCTGCAGGTGCCCAGTGCCTGTCACGAGGAAATCCAAAATGCCTCTGTGTCTGCAACCCTCTCTCAGCCTAACACTGTGTCAGCAGGTGTGTAACTCTGTGCCCATCCTCAGCTGCTGAGTGCAGCTTCCTGCCGAGATATGCCATGGCACCTGTGGCCCCAGTACAACCACAGCTCCTCGGCACTCACGAGGTCAGAAACTGGTCCAACGCTCTTCAAAGGGAACACATGTACCAATCTGTCTTGTCTTGATCTCTAGATTGAAGAAATGATAAATGAAGTAAAGCTCAGCAAGTGCATGGATACTGGAGAACAAGTGACACAAATCAATTTAGAGGAGTTTATCAAACTGTATATAAATCATCACCCTGCATTTGGTTTGTCAATGAAAACCATACAACAAGCGTTTCGGGTTCTTGGCTATGATAATGAGAAGGGAGACAAAGTTATTGACAGAGGAGACTTACTGTTGCTGCTTCAGTGCAGAGGTGAGTTATTTCTTCCTAACTTTAGTTTTGTGCTTGCTAGTTCTGATGGCAATTTCAGAACTTATTCACAGCATCACAGAGTAAATCTGGAGCCACAGCCTGGTAACCAGGGCAGGCACGGGGAGCCACCTGGCTCAGGACTTCAGATTGAATAATCACATCTTTTGTCTCAGCTGCACTTCTTTTACTGCTCTGGAAATCTCTGCTGGCCTGAGGTATCTTGACTGTCAAATGATGAGTATGGATCTTGGCAAAATGTGTCCTGCTTCCAGTAGGCACTTATTTGAATCACTGATCTCTCTTCCAGTCACACAGGCAAAGGTAGCATAAAAGGGGACAAGAAAGGAGAGATGAAATTGGTCAGTCCTTTGTGTGAAAGACTGAAAAGATGGGATAGTTTAGTTGGGCTAAATCAAGGAGAACACTGTAAATGTATGTATAAATATTCTTGTGGCCAGCACCATAGAGAGGTAAATAAAGTTCTATTGTCTTGCTCCTGGTATAAAAATGCAGCTGAGTGTTAAAACAGGTAAAGGAAAATGCTAGTTTACTCAGTACATCACCTGGCAAGACTCCTTGCCACAAAGATCCTTGGAACCCAAGGATTGAACCAGTGTAAGAAAGGTTAGTTATTTATATGGATGGTGTGAACATCCATAAATAGATACATCAGATAGAACAGTTTCATAACAGATCCATAACCTCATGCTGCAGGGCATGAGCCAACCACTGACTGGGAACAAGTGCTGTGTCCAGGTTGTTCCAAGATACTAAATCAAGACTTGTCTGCACCTTCCTCCTCGGTGTGAAAATGGTGCATGGACTGTGGTCTGTGCCAGGAATTCTCCAGTGGGAACAGAAGCTCAAGCCCCTGCAAGTGCAATGTATCCTGCATCAGTATTTCTCCCTTTGAGAAAGAACTGTCCTTTTCTGTTCATTGTTTGAGCTGCTTTCTAGTTTCTCTGCTCTCACCCCATAACCCATGGGCTCCTCTGTGGTGCACAGGAGAGCGGATGACGGAGCATGAGCTGGCACAGTGTCTGACCACCCTGCTGGGCAGCAGACCTGGGGGAGAAGGATCTGAACTGGACACCTACGATCCCTCAGGTACAGGATTGACACTCCACACAGCACAGAAGCAGGATTGCTTCAATTCCCAAATGAAAGAATTTAAATTTCAAACCCATTTACCCTGTTAGGCCAAGAGCTGTCAAAACTGCTCAGTTGGGATTGCAAAAATAGTCACAGAGCTACAGACTGTCCTTCACCCACGCAGCAATCGCATGGGTTGTACCTAAAAATAAACGGACAATGAACTATAACTGGGGCCTGACAAGATTACATTGCTGTTTATCTGCTGGCTGGGCCTGAAATTAGAAGCACAGAGGGAAATCCCAGCGCTGGTTTCACCCAGGCAGCAGTGCCCATTGTAGCGGAGCTGCTGGTAACGACCGTGTTCGTCTGCAATTTGTGTCCCAGTCTGCACCAGTCTGGAGCAGCAAATTACAGCATTGATTTCAGTCAACTGGTTGCATTTAATTGCCTGTTGTAACTGGAACAGCAGTTTTGTACCATTCATTCCCAGTCCCCACCAGTTCAGAACAGCATCTGGCCAGGGCCATTGGCAGCGAAGATGCAGCTCCTGGAGGGAACTGCCTAGTGCTGCAAAAGCAGCTTTGGAATCCCTGGATTCCCTGAGATCCTAAAGTCACACCAAACTGAGGAAGTGTGAGAGCTGTCCCATGTCTCCTGTGGGTCAGGGACCTGCTGCGAGGTGAGACTCAGCTTTGACAGGCTCAGTCCCTGATACAAGCACATAAAGCCTCAAGCTAGTAAACCATCACTTTTTCATGGTTATTTTGTACATCTCTAAAACCATTCCATCCACTTACTGCTGCTCATAAATTTTACGGATCTGAAAGCCATTTTTACATTGCCACTGTGTGTTTTGTGTTGCTATTACTGCTCTCCAGGTGCAGCAGCTTTGACTGGAGAAGAAATTCCAGCAGAAATCACAGCAGAGATATTT